TGCTAAGACAATGCCTGCTATTTCTCCCTTTCCTCCATCCAGCTTCTCAGCCTTTTTTTTTTTTTAATTTGTTTTTTAGAGTCCTCATTGAAAAGATGATGAACAATTCCAGAGAAGATATGTCTTTGTCCACCCAAGGGGACTACATCAACCTACAAACCAAGCCCTCGTCTAGCTGGGCCTGCTGCTAGTAGTGTTTCTTTCCATTCTAAGAGGTCTTTCCATCTCTTCCCTTTGGTTGCCCACCCAGCAATTTTATTAAGCACATTGAATTGCCTCCTGCTAACTATCTAGTAAGGAGGGCCATCATCACTGAGAAAAGACACCCGGGACCCATATGCATTTCTGCATCTCCTGCAACTTGGTTCTCACTTGCTGCTGGCTTGTGTGGCCCAGTTAGTGTCTTCTGTATAAGAATGATCATCTCATCACTGAATTTGTAGTCTGGATTTTGTGGGAAGGATTAGAAATCAGTATCTGTGCTTTAAGGATCATAATTGTCAGCTGCTTTTGAGCTTAGTTTTCCATCTGATATATGTTGATATCTCAATCTTGACTTCAGTTGAGGTGCAAATGAGATCAAAGGTCATTCCTTAAATTCTTTGTTGGTCTTGGCTTTCATATTCTTTCTGTCTTGGACTTTGAATTTAAACATCTGATTCTGAGATTCAGGAGTGACACTGAATGTCTTTGGGTTTGGGGCTACTGGAGGTGGCCCAAAAGTCACTGTATTTTTGAAGCTTCTAAAGTCATAATTAGCTTTCTCTTGTCTTGGTCTCAAGAATAGTCAAGATTTTGAACTATCTATTTTGTGTGGTGAGAGAGTTTCTTTCCCCAAAGAAATTAATTTTCATATTGGGGTTTTCTAAGTATCCCTACCATTGGGACAGGGGTGGCGTTTCAGGTTTCTGGGTTGATGCCTTGATGCATAATGCTGCAAGTGACATCAGTTGGCTGTGGTGCCCAGTTGTCTGTTCCTCACAGCTCTAGAACCTGAATAGGAGAAGAAGGAGAGGTTAATAAAACAAAACCCTGTGGGGCAACTGAGTGTTAAGTGGCTAGCACTTAACAGCCATAGGAAACAAATACTATGTATAGACCTTGGCCTGAGCATGGGAGTAGATAGACAGAAAATCATTAGGTTAGTTAAGTGCTAAATTGGGTAGGGTTTTATCAGATCACTTCTAGACAGTTTAATTTGTTGGATTTTCACAGGGTGGCGATTTATAACCTACCCAAAGTTATGAATATTCGTAGTGAACCCAGAGGCCTAGAATTCTTTGAGAAACACTGATCTAAATAAGTATTCTAAGTCGGTGGTTCCCAAGTGTGATTAATCAGAGCCACCTGAGAAGTTTGTTAAAAATTTTAAAAATGTTTTAAGATTTCTGGGTCCCAACCTCAAACCTACTGAGTCAAAATTTCCAGGGATGAAGCCTGGGAATTGGTTGTTTTTCAAAGCTTCCCAGGTGATTTTGATCAGCTTGGTTTGGAAACCATTGCTGGAGAACTTAGTAAAGATGCAGAGACCCAGGCCTGGGCTTCTGTGGGCTCCATTAGCTCTCCAGGTGATTCTCATGCTCACCAGACTTTGAAAATGGCCATCCTTAGAGGGAGGTCAGAGGCTAAATACCAGAAAGAGAATGGGAGCCAAACCTTCAGTAGTTGGTTGGTTGGTTGGTTTTTAATGCCAATTATTATAGCTTTTGCACAACTTTTTGAGACCTCGAAGTTCTTTTGTAGTACCCTTTTCACATAGGATTTTTCTTACAGTGATTCTGAAGATAATAGTGGAGTAACAAATTCTCTTTATGTGAGAAGAAAATTGAACCCCCACAAAATCACAAATAAATGGGAATTAAGTCTTGTATTCAGGGTAGTTATTGGCCTTTGATATGTTTGTTGAATTGTATTTTATGCTGATTGTTCAAAAGTATTGTGAAATTGGAGACTTTATTTTTTAAATACCTTCTTTAAAAATGAAGGTGAATGTTTATATGTTTATCTATTAATTCACTAGTACCAGTTGCCTAGTACCAAGTCAGTACTTGATGTAACATCCCAAGTACTGCTTGGACATGTGATCATTTTAAAAAATTGAATATGCTTTCTTTTCCCATTTGCTGACTCAGGATATACCTACCTTTTCAAGCATTGCTAGAGGCTGGCTTGCCAGCCCTTCTGGATTTTCTCTCCCAACTGGTGAACATTCATTATAGGCCTAAAACTAAAGAAGAAATTGAAATATAACTAATTCTTCCCTATGTCTCTATCCATAAAAGGAAAACAAGGAGATATTTACATGATTCAAAATGCAATTATTCTAAAAATAATTAGTCATTTGATTAGCACCTCTTGGGTAAAATTGTTTGGAACATGGATATTGTTGTAGCCCTTCCCTAGAGAAGTTTCCATATTCGAGACAAGATGCCCCTTCAACCACTAAGCTGGTCTGTGGCTCAAAAGAAAACATAAGCATTCCCTGAAGAGTGTTCTAAGAGACCGAAGGAAGGGCTGAGAACAGAGCTATGGGATTATGACTGCCCTGGCTTTCTACTGTGGACTTAATAGCCGAATGACCAAACAAGCAGAGAAAAAGAGACCACAAGTCAAGGAAGGCCCCTCAGCAGTTAAGTGATGGTTTGTTCTTTTGTTACTACTAATGAGCCAACATTACTCCAAGATGCCTCCCCTAATTCACTTTCCTTAGCTATTGCTAAGGTATGTTTGGGTTCTTCTTTTTTTCCTATTGTCTCCAGATTTAACTCTTTTCTTTGGGTGGTCTGTCTTCTGGCCTCAGGATACTGTCTCATCTAACACAAGGCTTTCCTGCCTCTCATCTTTCTGTAATCAGTGGCCTGCTTTTGACATGATTTAAGGCCATGGTTAGAAGATCTAAAAATCTCCACAGTATCCTATAAAATCCAGTGACTGGATTGCCCAAGGAAACAAACCCCATTGCCTGTTTGCCCTCCACCCCTCTTAGTTCATTGTGTATGGGAGGAGTCCTCAGCTATGTAAGTGACTTTTTTAGTCAAGCCAAACAATCCCCAAAGCTGCAAGTTGGAATAGGTAGGAAACCACTAGAAAATGATGTGTGTTTGGAAATAATTATACATTTATTTTTGATTCAGCTGTAAATACCAGAGACCTAGAATATATTTACATATAACCTTCATTGTTGTTAGAAAAACCTGACCTTCTCTTTGGCTTTCAAGCAGAATCTGAATCCTCTCAAGTGGTATCTGTATAGTTTCAGTATAATAATGATATTGCTCTGTGTTAGGGTACTCGGGGAAACAGAACTTATATATGTATACATATGTAAAGGGATTTATTGTAAGGAACTGGCTTATGTGATTATGGAGGATGGCAAGTCCAAAATCTACAGAGCTGATGTCCCAGTTCAAGTCCCAAGGCTGGCAGGCTGGAAGAAGCTGATATTCCAGTTTGAAGACCATGAGGTAGGAGAATTCTCATTTACTCAGCCAACAATTTATTCTATGTAGGCCTTCACCTGAATAGATGAGGCCCACCAACATTAGGGAGGGCAATTGGCTTTACTCAGTCTACTGATTTAAGTGTTAATCCCATCCAAAAACACCCCCACAGAAACATCCAGGATAATGTTTGACCAAATATCTGGATACCTGATGGCCCAGTCAAATTGACACATAAAATTAACCATCACGTGTACTTAACAGTATTTCACTATATGATGGTACTGTTTTGGTACCTTTTCTTTACACTCTAACTTGATTCATACACAAAGTCCATGTGATCAGGAACTGTGTTAATGGGAATGACAAGGAGAAAGCAGATAGAAAGAGGAAGGAGGTATAGGCATTTTATAATTTGTCATGATAAGAGGAGGGCACCCCAGTAGCACCAGATACCAATGTCTGGTTTGGTATAAACTCTTCCTTCAGATCTGTGAGTTTGTGCTTCTTACACTATCTTGAAAGTAAGAAATCAAACAGTTCTTCCCATTTTATGTGAGAGAACAAATGTCTCAAAATTTGACTGACTGAAAGGCAGACGGTTGAATTTATAATAAAGCCAACGTGTAACTGGCAACCCATTAATTCCCTATCTCCACTCTGTTCTTTAGATTTCTGGAGAACATTTGACCTCAAAAACCTATTTCAGAAAACAAGCCTAGACATTTGGAGAAACAGAATTGACCCCTTTTGCGTTTGAAACTCTTGGTTTGTGTTAGATTTTGAGACCATGTTCATATATGGAATAGAGACTTGCATGTAATTAAATATGGGGCCAAAATAAGCACAGTTTGAATAGCATGCAGTACAGATATATCCAAAGATGCTTAATTGACAAGATCTACTTTAAGATACATCACCCAAATGCAGTGACAGTCATTTAATTTTGAATATCAGCTCTCTTGTTTGCAAGAACGGAGATTTTTAACAGCCATTCTATTTTCAACTGTTGCTGCTAGTAGCTAACATCTGAATGTTGCTATAAGCCAAGTATTCTGAGTACTTCACATGAATTACTTTTCACAATGACCCTATGATATCTGTAAATGAGGAAACTGAGGCACAAAAAAATCAAGACTTTGCCCAAGGTTAGACAGCTAACGAGTGGCAAACTGATTTTTAACTTTAAACAGTGTGACCCCAGAAACTGGGCCCTTTACTGCCATACACTGCCTCCCATTTTGCATGTGTGTGGTTTGGTAGTGGCATCCTTGAAGTTTTTTACATTTAACAATTTTTCAGTATGGCAGATACAAAGAGTAATTTATTCAATAGACATACAAGTTTTCTAATACTTTATAATGAAAAAATTTAAATCTACTTGTTAAAGAAAATGGAGAAAAGAAGAAAAATCCAAACCGCCATTTACTTACATTTCAATAAATTTGTTTTCAGTGTATTTTTTAATGCAAATACATTTTTTCACATAATCGTATTCACACTTAAATTGGTTTAGATTACATACCTTTTATGTATCTAGTATTAAAGTAGGAGTTGTAGGGGATATAAAATTCTGTGCCACATACGTTCAAAATAACAGGAGATCAAGAAAGATTTCTTAAAAGGAAGTCAGACTTGGATGGATACAAACTGAGAAAGAGGTGGAATAGGATTTCAGGTTGGGAAGGAGTTTATAATTCTTACACAGGTTTGGGAAGTAGCTACTAGACCAAAGAGCTCATTCTGTAAAGCAGTGGGAAATAAGGTTAAAAAAGATTGTTGACAGATTGTATAGGTCCTTAATTAATTTAACCGATAGTGATATACCTACCATGTGCCAGGTACTTCTTTAGGTGCATGGATTGAAGGCCTGGAGAAGAAAAGGTTCCCCAGAAGGGAGCAGGTCATATAAAAGAACTGCATCTTGCATCAGGGAGTGCCAGTCTACTTGCAGTGATGGAAGACAAGGAGGGAGGTCAGGTAAAGCCTCGTGGAAGAGAGGGCACTTGGGCTGGATAAGTGTTGCTAACTGGAGGACACAGGAGGAAATGCATTTTAGACAGAATAAAGTTGAATAAGGGCATGAGGGTATGCAGTAAATAGCAGAGCTTGCTCAGAGAACAGTGGATGTGCATTATAGCTGAAGTCGGCAGGGGCCTAGGAGGGGACTGTGAGAAAATGAGGTTGGAGATAGGGCCAGATCAAGGAGCACTCTATAGGCCATGCTGAGGCATTTAAACTTCATCTTGTAGTAGAGAACTATGAAAAGTTTTAATTCTTTTTTATTTTCTTATTGGAAAATACATAAACATTATTACCTTTTTAAAATGGCTTAAAACAACAGAAATTATTTTATCACTCTGGAGGTCATAGGTCCAAAATGGATCTGACTGGGCTAATTTCAAGATATTGGCAGGGTTGCATTCCTTTCTAGAGTCTTTAGAGAAGAATCATTTTCTTACCTTTTCTAGCTTCTAGAGGTTGCCCACATTCCTTGCCTTATGGCCCCCTTCTTCCATCTTCAAAGCCAGCAATGGCTGGTCAAGTCTTTTCTCACATCTCATCTCTCTGACCTGTTCTGCCCACCTCTTCTACTTTTAAGGACCCTTGCAATTACATTGGGTCCACCCAGATAATCCAGGTAAATTTCCCCATATCAAGATCAGCTTATTAGCAACCTCACTTCCCCCCTCCCATATTCACAGTTTCCTGAGATTAGGTCATGGACATTTTTGGAGTGTCATTATTGTGCCTGCCACAGATAGGAACACTGAGGAGTAGTGGGGTTAAGGAACTTACCTAGGGTCACTCAACTAGCTGGTAGTGGAGCCAAGAATAAACATTTTTTAATTCAAATAATATAGACATATTTTTTAATTTTTTTTTTTAACACCTATAGCACCCAGTATTCCTAGATGGTCTCCCATCCAAGTACTAACCAGGCCCAACCCTGCCTAGCTTCCAAGATCAGACAAGATCAGACGTGTTCAGGGTGGCATGGCCATAGACAATATAGACATGTTTTGGAAGGAGGTAGAATTCTTTAAATTTCGTCCAGGTTATTGTCTACACATATAGTCCCAACTGTCCGCCCTACCCCTTAAAACAAAAGGCTTCCTGCAACTTATTTTTTCTTTTTAATGTATCTTTGATATCTCCCTATGTAAGAACATATAGTTCTACCTCATTCTTTTTAATTGCTGCATAAGATTATATGGATGTATTATAATTTATGTAACCAGTTATCTACTAATGGATGTTTGGATTATTTCTTTTTCCTCTCAATGCCACAGACTAACATCTTTATTTATTTACAATTTTATGAGAAAAGTTTTTTAGGAGCTCCTAGAAGTATGTCAAAGAGCATATACACTTTAAGTTTAAATACAGTGCCATATTTCCCACCAAAATGTTTTTATCAATGTGTAGTCCTACCGATTGGTCTGAGGGGCCAGTTTACCCATATCCTTAGCAAGACTATTTCGACCTTTACCAATCTGAAAAGTGAAAAATTTAATTATTTTTTATTTTGTTATGAGTGAGTATATTTTTAAATATATTAGTCAGTTGTACTCTGTTAGTCACCTATTTATGTCCTATATTTGTTTTTATTTTGTTGTCTTTTTCTTAGTGATTTTGTAAAAGCTGTTTGTATATTAAAGATATTAACCTTTTGTTCTACATATTGCACATATTTCCTCCAGTTCATGGAGAGATGTTAAGCAGAGTGATATTAAATTTGTGCTGGAGACATCTGTGGTAATAACTTAAATGCTAGTATAAAGTGGTTAGACTTTATTATGGAAACTGTATGGACATATTGAGCCCTATGCTTTAGGAAGGTAGCATTGTGGTATCTACCACAGGGTACAAAAAAAGTTGGCATAGGGGGAAGCGGAGAAAAGCTGTTACAGTAATTTAAGGATGAATGGTGACAGTGGAAATGGCAAATGAAAAATAGATTTGAGAAATGCAGTGAAGAAAGAATCAAGAGGTTTCCCGTTAAAAACTAAAAGGCATAGGGTAGAGTTAGCACCAAGGATTTGAGCTTGGGTGATTTAGATGATACTGCTGACAGAAATGGGGGAGTCAGGAAAAGAATGCAGGTAGGAGAGATGATTTTTTTGGCATAGAGATAAATTAAGCTTATGGGCATCCTCACGGAGATGTCTGGTAGGCAGTCAGGATACTGGGCCAGAACTCAGAGAGAGGCAGAGAGACCTGCAGTATAGTTGGTGGTCATATCCCTCTACTGGGTATGGATCAGTTTCCCAGGAATGGTTAGGAAATAGTGGAGAAAGAACGACCGCACCTTGGACACCCACAGTGCTGAAAGATGGTTATCACTGTTCTCGCTGTCATTTTTTCTCTGGCTATACACTGGAGCAGTCTTTATGAACTCTGTTCCCAGGGCTTAAGGATGGTTGTGTTCTGTTGAAGGAATAAACCAGCAGTAGGATTGGGGGGATTTTCTGTCAGTGAAGACAGTGTGAACCATTCCGCCTCCCACAGTGCTGCACTTTCACAAGTGAGCCCACTTTTTTCTTGTTATGCCAGTAGGACTGATTCAATTATTCCCATTTTACAGATAAAGGAGCTGAGGCTCAGGAGCTTAAAATTTGCTGAGGTTACCTAGGTAGTAAATCACAGTGCTCAGAGGCAGATATCCTTGATTACAAGTTCAGTGCTCTTTTCGTTATGTATACCTTGGAGACTCCCCTTTCAGCAATGTTCACTTCAGAATATTTGTCAGTGGTTTAGATGGATAAGGCTGTGTCTCCTTCAATGTTACAAGAGCAGGTTTTCTATAGATTGTATTGGTTTCAAGCAAAACGAAAAGTATTAGTCTTTGTGGGAGTTTCCCTTCAATTTAAACTAAATGTCAAGTTGTAGATCTTTTTATGTTTTAGTGCAGAAATCCACCTAAACTTAGCTCTTAACATTCTTAAAGGTAGAGAGGAAATGGAAGTATAGAGCCAAAGAAATGTATATTTGAGAAAATGAATTTAAAAGTTTAAATTGACTTTGGCCCCACCTTTTTCTGACTGTGACCTGAGGGCAAGAGAGCATCCTCCTTAACCATGAACCTTTCTCTAGGCAGATTGCTTCGCCTTTGGGATTGCAGAAACACTAACCAGACACAGCTCTCCTGTCCCGTCCTTTCTTCTGAGTGTGTGGGCGGGGGAGGCGGGGGGCAGAGAGAGTCAGCAGGTTGGAGGTGGGAGTTAAGGAAGAAAAAAAAAAGCCTGGAAAAAGCTTTTTTTTAACTTCCTGGCAGGATCTTCAAAGAGAGGTGACTTTCTGTGTTCCTGTGATCAGTACAAACATTGTCTGTCTGTCTTTAGACCTGGTTGGCCGACTTTTATGAAGTCCCAGAACTAGAAGTGCCCTGCACAAAGTAAGTGCTCAAAAATTCTTATAAAGCCCCCAGCTTCTATAGCATAGCCTTGAAGGAAATGGGTCTTTGTTAGGGACAGGGAAGAGTCATCTGTCCTACCCCTCACCTCCAGCACTGCTACTTCTTACTGTCTTTAACATGTGCAGGGAAGAAGGAAAAGGCTACTTCTCAAAATATAAGAGAAATTAAGCATTGAATTTAAAAGGTCATTAAATACCACTTCCGGCAAAAAGGAGTAACTGACTTTTCTGTCTCCTGAGCTTTTTTTTTTTCATAATTTTCAGTGTGTGTGTGTGTGTATCCCTTCAAGGTTATCCAATGGTACTTCTAAAATGTAACCTATCATATGATCAGTGTCTTTCTTCAGTTTCCAACAAACTGGTTGTGGTTGAGACAGGTGCCCAAGGCAGATCATTTGGAGATGGGTTAAAGGGAACTCACCTTGGAGATTGCATTCCAAATTCTCTTGGCAGCCAGGGAGCCAGTTCTTGTAGGCATACTTCTGAACTTATCCCGTAAGACAGCGTTCTCCAACGTATTTGGCACCAGGGATTGGTGCTTCTATGAGAATCTAACGCCTGATGATCTGAGGTGGAGCTGGTGGAGCTGATGAAGCTTTGCTCACCCAGCCTGCCACTCACCTCCTGCTCACCTCCTGCTGTGTGACCAAGTTCTTAACAGGCCACAGACTGTTACAGGTCTGTATCTCGAGGGTTGGGGACCCCTGCCCTAAAAAGTATACTAGAAGTTTAAGTCTTAAGTTAATTCCTTCTTAAGAGATAGTGTTTGTTGAAATACTGAGTGAATAAACAAATGGAGGGAAGATGTTAACTGAAGCTGAAGTGAAGAGAGAGGTAGGACATGACCCTCACCTGGGAAGAGTAAGAGCCTTCATTCAGTGGCCATCTGTATATTGGCCTTGAACTAAACTATCAGGCCAAGGCCTGGAAGATCTGTTCGGAAATTTCTGCTTGCCTGGACATGTTGAGTATGGCCAGTTCCTTTCATTACCTACGAAATGAGTAACAATAATTCTTCTGCTTCATCTCACAATACCAAATAATGGTATTTGCTAAAATAATAGCAATCTGCCCTAATAAAACAGCCTCCAACAAAGTCACTCGTGATCACTGCACTACCCTGTCTCTGCACTGGCATTTTAACAATAAGATGGCTGACAATATACTTAGTCAAAATATATTCGGCTACTATACAAAAATAAATAACAAATATTGGCAAGGATGTGGAGAAACCAGAACCCTTATGTACTTCTGGTAGGAATGAAAAATGGTGCAGCTGCTGTGAGAAATAGTATGCAGATTCCTCAAAAAAATTAAAAATAGAATTACAATATGACCTAGTAATTCTACTTCTGTGTATATATCCCAAATAATTGAAAGTAGGGGCTCAAAGAGATATGTGTACCCTCTGTTCCTTGCAGCATTATTCACAATAGTCAAAATCTGGAAGCAACCCAAGTGTCCGTTGGCAATTAATTGGGTAAACAAAAGATGGTATATACATACAGTGAAATATTATTCAGCCTTTAAAAGGCAGAAAATTTTGATACATGCTACAACATAAATGAACCTAGAAGACATTTTGCTAAGTGAAATAAGCCAATCACAAAAGGACAAATACTATATGGTTCTATTTATATGAGGTACCTAGAGTAGTCAAGTTTATAAAGGCAGAGGGTAAAATCGTGGGTGCCAGGGGCTAGAGAGAAAAGAAATGGTGAGTTAGTGTTTAATGGGTAGAGTTTCAGTTGGGTTTGCTGAAAAAGTTCTGGAGATGGGTTGTGATGGTTCCACAACAATGTGAATGTACTTAATACCACAATTATACACTTAAAAATGGAGTTAAAATGGTGAATTTCATACATCTTTTTACTACCAAAAAAAAACATTTGGGGAGAAAGAGTGGAGTGGCATGAAGAAGGCAGAAGGTAACTTTAATGCTTATCTTCCCTTAGAAATGCCCAGATTTTACAAAGGAGACTTTCAGCAACGTTTGTGTATGGCATATATCTTCAGTTGGTTATTAACAGCCTGGCTGCCTGTGGCTGGGTTGAAGTCTATTTTACAACGGTGGGGTAAATATTAGCTGTTTCCCATAAGGATCCTGAGCTCTGCCTCTGAGGGTTTTAAGCACCAAACTAATGTTCGTGGATTTAAATGGAATGATCTGAGTTACCCTAACTTATTTGACCTGCCTCTTGAGCCAGCTCCATCTACCCATACTCAGAGATCAGATCATCTTTTAAAAATGGAATTTAACAATTTTAAGCACTTCTGTAGCGCTTATTGTGTGCCAGAGACTGTCCTAAAGGCTTTTCATATATCAACTCATTTAATCCTAATAACCCTATAAGGTTAAGTACTATTGTTCCCCATTTTACGTATGCGAAAACTGAGGCACATACATAAAGTTATACAACTATTAAGGTGTGGACTTGGGGTTCAAACCGAAACACTTTGTGGCCCCAGAGTTCGTGCTCCTTGTCATTAGCGCCCCGCCACCCAAATAATGTCCAAGACAGGGACTTTAATGACCCTGAAGTAGAACTCAAGGGTCCAGAATGGAGAACAGAAATTTGGGGTGAAGTTATTCCCTGCTTATGATCCTGCCTCTCAGCTCCAGCAGAGGCTGGACCGCTGAGGGCTAATGCTAAAAGCGAGGGGACTGGGCTTGTGAGTTTAAGGTCAAATCTTTCGAACCTATGGAATTTCCCTCCAATTCTGAAGCAACCGTTCTATGACGAATCAGCTGCCTATCCCACAGGTTTTGCTATTCGTGGAGTTTGTAGGTGATAAAGGCAGGAGAAATAAAAGATAATTAATTAAAATTAAATGACAATGACCCCTATATAAATATTTTTTTCCAGCGGTTCCAAGATGCGACCCAAGACGAATCTGCAACTCTGGAGTGGAAACCAGGGGGCGGGCCGAGCAGCGACCATTTTTGTTTTGCGGGCGTGCGCTCTCAGAGCATCTTGACTAACAGGACCCCACGGAGGAGGCGGAGCCTATCAGAGAGTGGGGCGGGGCCTAGGGGACGTGATGATTCAAACAGACTAATGAGCTCGGCGCATCTGGCAGAAGCCGCCAATGACCGGGCGTGTTGGGGCGGAGCCCACAAGCCCTAGTGGGTTTGGTTGCACGGCGGCTTTGGCGCATTTTCGGCTGGTTTGATTCATCCATTTTGAGGAGACGGGGGAGAGGGGGGCTCGTCTGCTTACAGGGCCCTGAACCAAGGAGCGGCGGAGTTTGAGAAGCCAGCACCTCGGGGTTCAGCGGCAGCGGCTCCGTCGGCCGAAGTTGGGGGGGGT